CAGCGGGCTGGTCCGTGCTTTGAAGTCGAGTCAAGGGTAACTTTTAGACCCACATTGGGTCAGAGATCCAGTTTAGAGCTGTGCCGGTGCATCTGCAGAGGCAGTGGAGAGGAGCTGTGGGTCCCTTCAGTCAGCTTCATGGGCAGAGGCTGTCCTGAAGCTGTAACTGGATTTACTGTCCCTCAATCCCAGCACCTCCTGGGGGGGTTAGCAAGTACTTGGGGTGTTGGAGACGTAAAGCCACTTGTACCAAGCATGAATGCCAAGAGATGTGCTGCTTCATTAGTGCTCAAGTAGGAGCCCATTTCCAATCTGAGTGATCAAGCCTGAAAATCACTTGTGCGTTAGTTGAAGGCTCTGGGTTAGTGTCTTTGGAAGTAACACGCTGAGGTTCAGACAATGCAGTTTTAGTGGTGTAATGGGTAATAGCTCTGGGAAGGCCAGCAAGGCTGTGGCTTAGTGATCCCCTTGGAAAAGTCTGATGCTTCCAGATGCCTCTTCTGGGTGCTGGAGGACCAAATGTCACAAGATGCAGTAGACAGGCTGTGTTCATCCAGCTTCCTCCGTGACTTCAGCCATCCTGTCCACTCCTCATTAAACCCCAAATCATTCCCATGGCCTCTGCAAGCCTGACAAAGCTTTGGTCCTTCTCATCCAACTGAGGCTTAGACTGACCTCAAGGTAAAAGGGATTTAACCGTATGTGGTCAGATTTTGCACACCTGCCTTTGAGATCAACCTTGTCTCGTTCGTGGTGTAGAAGTTAAGTTGGTGGCTGCAGTTGGGTATGGGCAGATGGAGCTCACATTGTGTGCTGTTCTTAAAGTCATTACTGCAGTTATGTGAAACACCCACTTTGAAGGGGCTCAGTCTATTGATAAATGAAGCCTGTTGAGAACCTCCAGCCGGTTATTTTCACCCATCTTTCTGAAGTGCTCATTCAAAAGTTGGTGTCTCTCTGGATCGTCTTTTTCTTTTGATGACGAGGAAAGTATTAGCTCAAGCTATTTTTTTTATGAAGTCACAAATATGAGCAATATATTTAAGTATTATTTATAGACATAGTTTTTTAAACTGTTCTAAGGAACGACTGAACTGAAAACTGTAAAAGGAAATAATGTTCCATGCCAAACCCTTTTGATGAAGGAATGGTGTCAGGTTATTTATGAGGAATGAGTTCTCTTGTTTATAATTCCGGGATTTTAAAAAGTATAAAAGAAGTTTTCCAGGATTGTATGCAAATCTCTATCTGTCTTCTGGGAGTCAATAAAGTACTGCTTGGCTTCCTTCACTCGCTTCTTCCTTTTTGTGCACCTCATATGTGGCAGGGTTGTGCTTGCTGATGCTCCCATGTTCCTCACAATTACTCTCTCTGAGCAAGAATTCAGTGATTTATACAGTGCCCAGTGACTGCAGAAGGCAAGACAACTGCTGAGCATTGTGGCTGACCTTTGGGAGCTGCATGTCTCCATGGTGGGTTGGGGTCTTGTCTGAATAGCCGGGGGTGGGTGGATGGATGGGAGCTGGCTTGCACTGGGACCTACAGTGCTGCTCTGGGAGCTGCTTTGCTTCTTTTAAACATATTTATTTTCCTCTTGTCTTTGCATATGAGTGTTTGTCTCAGGATCTTCAAATGACTTAAAGCAACAACTTCCGTGTTGGTGAATACTTGAAATGTAATTTCAGGTGTTTTTCTCCAGGTGACAGTCTGGATGAAGTTTGTAGGTTAGTAAAATAGATCATTTTAAACATAGATGTTTGAAATATATGTGTTCCATGGGATCATTTTAAGGAAACTTGGGCCTAATGTTGAACACTTGAAATGTGGGTCATGGCTGTACTCAGGACCTGGCAATATAACTATAGATTGTGTCTTAACATTTGAGTATGGAGTGTACCGAGTGTGGGACCTGGTTGGCAACTGTTCTCCCCCAAGAGCTCAGATGTTCTCTCACTCACAGCGCCCACCCGCCCTCATGTAGTGATGGTAAATGTGACTCTAGGCTTAGGAAAACCCAACAGGGGTTTCTGTGCAGTTGGCAGGTTTGGCCTCCTCACCATAAAGAAGTCTTTCCATGACTGATTACAGGCACAGGTCGCCCATAGAGGTGTGGATGCTCCATCCCTGGAGACATTCAAGGCCAGGCTGGATGTGGTTCTGGGCAACGTGGTCTAGTTGAAGACGTCCCTGCTCATTGCGGGGGGTTGGACTAGATGAGCTCTGAATGTCTCTTCCAACCCAAACCATTCTATGATCCTATTCTGTGATTCTACAGCATAGGAATCTCAGGAGTAGGTGATTTGTGCATGTACTCTGCATATCCTCTGAAGTGACTTGTGGCTGAAAGTTTGAGGATCTCCGAGCTGGTATGGCATTTCTGTAGTCCCATTCTGGGATGCCTAAGTACTATCTAGCTGTCTGAGGGAAAAACCCAACTCCCACACAGTTCTCTCAGTGAAAGGTACTTTATTTTAAGCTGTTGGATCACAGAGCTTGGTAGAACAGAGCAGAACATGTGTTTGATGGAGGAGCAGTGCTGCCTTTTGAAACCTGGAGAGGGGCTTTGGACAAGGGCCTGTAGGGACAGGACAAGGGGAATGGCTTTAACCTGCCAGAACAGGGGAGACTGAGATGAGCTCTTAGGCAGAAGCTCTTCCCTATGAGGGTGCTGAGGTGCTGGCACAGGGTGCTCAGAGAAGCTGTGGCTGCCCCATCCGTGGCAGTGTTCAAGGCCAGGTTGGACACAGGAGCTTGGAGCAACCTGCTCTAGTGGAAGGTGTCCCTGCCCATGGCAGGGGTTGGAACTGGATGGGCTTTAAGGTCCCTTCAAACCTGACCCAGTGTGGGATTCATTCTGTGATTCCAAGCAGGAATGATGGCATGGGATGGGATTTCTGCTGTCTGCTGGAGAGACCCTTGGGCAGAGAATGGGGAGCATGTGGCATATGAATTGTCTGCTGGGCAGTGGGGGCTTCTCAGCCACTGCCTTTTCCGGAGACGCTGCAGCACAGGCAGTCCCGCTGGCTCTGTATCCAAGGCTTTTAGGTGTATTGGACTTGCTGCCATTCCTGTAAGTAAACATGTGCTCCGAAACATTTTCAACAACTTTGGGTTGACCCCCCAGAAAAATGCTTCTGACAGGACAAATTCTTGCCCTGTTTCTGTTGAGCTGGTTATGGTCAGAATGATGCAAACCAACCCAGGCTGCAGAAACGGGCTGTGGCTGAAAGCCTGAGCCTGTCAGAGCTGCTGAAGAACAGGTAGGACCCAAATTCCTCCTTGGATCTTGTCAACGTAGAGCGGTTTTCAGAACCTTTGCAGCCAGAGGCCTGTCCCGTTGCCCATTAACTGTGCCAGCAGCATTTGGATGGCTTAGGGGTAGATGTGTTTTGTAGGTACATGCTTATGTCTGGAAAAGAGGCACTAAGAGCCATGGTGTCAGTACTGGGAGCAGGGGGAATGATGTTGAAGAGTTTCTGTTCCCTGGAGGGACAGATCCACAGCTGAGGTCGCTGCAGTGGTTTAGATGTTTTTAATACCCTCAATATTCTCATACCAGTGCAAGTTTTGTTGTCATTTGGCTGAGCTGTCTTTAACAAATTTAGGATCAAATGTGTGTGTGAATATGTATTTATACATCCAAATATATAGATCTTGCTGTATATTATTTGCATTAAGCAGTTACTCTTTCCCCAGTCTTCCCATACGACAGTGTGAATACAACAGTTTTACCTACCCGGCATAAGGATATTAAAGGCTACTCTCAAATACAGCACAATCCATCGATTATCCTAAGGAATGACTGTTTTGCATACTATCTATCTTGCTTTGTTTAGTTCATGTTTGTACAGAGATTTGAAAATACAAAGAGCTATGTCCTTGCTAAGTTTCATCATTGTTTCTGTATGGTGCTATCACAATGGAGCACAAAAACCCTAAGGGAAACGTCACAAAATGCTGTGCATATCCTTAAAGTTGTAGTGTTGGTTACGTCCGGAAGAGCTAAGGGAGAAGTAAGCTGAGGGCAGAGTGCTGAAGCTGCCAACCTGATCTATGAAACTACAGCTTTTGCGAAGGGAAAGGGATGGATGGATGGAGGGATCCCAGGCTTGGGACTGCACAGAGCAGCCTCACACGTTGGAACGGGATGAGTTTTAAGGTCCCTTCCAACCTGAACCATTCTGTGATTCTATCATCAAAAAACTGGGCTCTGAATTTCATTTCCAGGCTTTGCAAATGCCCAGAATCCTTGTGATTCACAGCGTGGTTTGGGTTGGAAGGGACCTTAAAGCTCCTCTAGTTCCAAGCCCTGCCACGACAGGAACATCTTCCACTAGAGCAGGTTGCTCCAAGCCCCTGTGTCCAACCTGGCCTTGAACACTGCCAGGGATGGGGCAGCCACAGTTTCTTCAACAACATCTTCAATTCCCTGCAGGAAACTGTTTACCAAAAGAGGGAAAATTACTTCTGCCTCAACATCTAGCTCTCAGCAACCAGTGAACTTAGTCCATAGGCACTATCATCATTCAAAGGCAACCATGTTTGCTTTGATTGGATTTACTCATACCCACAAACCCTACTCCAGTATTGGTTGCAGGAGAAGCTGCTCTGGTCCAGCATGGATCTGGACACAAGGCTCTGCAGCTGATCCCAGCTTAGTCTACTGTCTCCACCTTCTGACAGAAAGGTGATGCTGGCCCAATGGCCAATAACAGAGATTGTATTAAAACCAAACACAGCAGGCTCCTACCATGGCTGTGCAAAGTTCCCCTGTGGCAGGGTTTAGCAGCCTTCCTCTGGACTCTCCTGTTTGTCTACATCCTTCTGGCAGTGGGGGCACTGAGATTTACCAGTCTCCTAGTGCCAAGGGCCACGTAAGCTGTGCTTGCTAATGCAGCCTTGTCAGGACACTCAGATTTTATCCAGGTTTCACCTACGCTGGAGCCAGGAGACAGCAAGATGTACAGTTAGAAAGAAGCAGCATGGACAGACAAATCATATAAAATGCTACAAAGCTTTTTATTGTCATACTGAGGTATACATAACACAGAAAATGCCACCACTGCTTTCCACGTGCACAGGTTAAAGGGGAACATTTGACTTGGTGGAAAAAGGCACTGCTTTGAAGGAATACATGGGGTAAGAACAGGAGACCTGGTGCTGAGACTGCCTGAGAAGTCTGCCCAGCTTCTGCTGCATTTGCACAGGAGGAAGTAACAGAATTGTCTGGTAGCATGTGGGAGATGTCCACTGCAGGACTGTTCCATGTGCTCCCACTCAAGCCAAGAGGAAAGAGCAAAAGGGTCCACTGGCAGTGAGGTAATTTGGTAATACTGACTTTAAGGAGCAGTGTCTGCTTCACCTTTTGAACCTGTCTCCTAGGCCACTTTTGAGAAAGGTTTGTCCTGCTTAACAGAGCTCTGTAGACCTGCAGAGTGAAAGAGCCACCTGAAGCACAGCGTGAAGCAGAATACTGCCCAGCAGCCAATTCTACAGAGCAGGAGACTGCAAGAGCTGCAACAGATACCTCTTCAAAGCCCTCCTCAAACAGGAGCTGCATTTCACTTGTGGCTGGTGGTGTAGCAGAGGGTTCTTCCCCTGTACCAACCAGCATCTCCATCAGAGCACAACCCCACCTACCACGTTCCAGACGGTTTATGCACATCTCCCCAAGGCCCAAGGACCTTCCCTGTCTGTGATTGTTCTCAGTTTACTCCTTTCAGTTTGTGCAAGGGAGAAGTACAGAAAATTCCTTTACTGAGTCACTGGGACAACCCACGTGACTGACATGGAAACTTCCCTGCTCCCCAGCAACCCATCACGCTCACTGACCTGAGCAACTGGGTGAGGCCAAAAGGGTGCTGACATCTGCATCAGTGCAACTGAGAAGGCTGTTGGAAGGACTACGATGGGCAGAAAGAGTTTCCTTTGTGAAGGTAAAACATAACAATAAACAACCTTTCTCTTACCAGCCTACAAGCCCTGTATCATTTTGCCCCTTTCAGCACAGACCCACTGAAGCTACTGTTAATGCAGTTGGTATTCAGGTCAAAACACGTCCTCCTTTTCTTTTGTCAAGCACTGACTGCATCAGACAATTTAAATGTTCACAAAATACTGCTTGAAGATGGAAGATTTCCCCAGAGAATGACAGTTTCCACACAACTTGCACCTCATGTAGTGCAGGTCACAAAAGAAGATGCGGGTTTTTTTTGCCATCAGAGAGGCAAACACTGAACAGGACAAAAAATAAAGACAGAAATAGAGTATTTTAACTTATAAAAGTTAAAACTGCCCCTCTTCCTCCTCAGAACTCTAAAGAAAGCTGTGATTTACTTAGTTTGGTGCCTGGTTTCAGGACAAAGTTTTACCTCTCAAGTCTCGCAGTGTCTGGTGGTTCTCTGTTCGTGGCTATGACAAGTACTGGATCCCAGGCTGACTGCAGTTTTCTTGCTCCCATCCCTGCCTAAGAAGGTGAGTATTGCTTGTTCTTCAAAGCAAAAAGATCAAGTAATCACCAAGAAGAGGGTAGAGGACAGAGCTGTAGTTTGGTCAAAAGGAGGGATTTCCCTGGGGTGTTTCCTTATTCTGTTGTGCTCACCAGTGCTGAAGTCCTTGGAATTCTCTGTACTTTAGTACACAATTTTCCAGTGAGTTGGCTGCTCACAGTTTTTCTCCTTTTCGCCACAAAACCGGTTGTAAGTTGTTTTTGGATCAAATCCCAAGATCTCTCTTTCTTCATGGATCCGGAAGGAAAACGTGGAAACTGAGGTGCCTATAAAATACCTGGGAAAAGAAAGCAGAAAGAGTTTGTGAAGGGGCAAAGTTTTAAAATGGAAGTGATTGATTTCAGTCCAACAAACTTTAATGATCATTGAAATTATATGAAAATGAAATTATCAGATGTATGATGTATATACACACAATGTAACTGTTATCATAGAAATGCAGACTGCTTTGTGTTGGAAGGGACCTTAAAGCTCTCCTGATCCCGTGCCATGGGCAGGGACACCTTCCACTAGAGCAGGTTGCTCCAAGCCCCTGTGTCCAACCTGGCCTTGAACACTGCCAGGGATGGGGCAGCCACAGCTTCTCTGGGCACCCTGTGCCAGCGCCTCAGCACCCTCACAGGGAAGAGCTTCTGCCTAAGAGCTCATCTCAGTCTCCCCTGTTCTGGCAGGTTAAAGCCATTCCCCTTGTCCTGTCCCTACAGGCCCTTGTCCAAAGCCCCTCTCCAGGTTTCCTGTAGCCCCTTTAGGCACTGGAGCTGCTCTGAGGTCTCCCCTTGAGGAGCCTTCTCTTGTCCAGGCTGAACCAGCCCAGCTTTCTCAGCCTGGCTCCAAAGCAGAGCTGCTTCAACCCTCACAGCATCCCCATGGCTTCCTCTGGACTCACTGCCTTCTTCCCCAGCTTGGCGAGCCTATGACCTATTACATATTAATTACAGGTGTAAATCAATTATATAAAATCATGTCATATTTGATTTGCAAACATCTACATCTGGACCAAAAGCTATACTCAGTTTTATGACACTAAGATTTGGTTCCTCAATAAAGTCAAATCTGCTACCTTGCATGTGCACAGATCCACTGGTCAATCACAGCCAAGCCCCCATCTTTGTAGAGCTCCAGCTCCTCCCATGAGGGTTCAAATCTCACCATCTCAGGCAGCAGTTTCTTGAGCAATTCAATCTCTGGAAAAGGAAAAGATACAAATCTGTTTGGCATTGTAAAGAGCAACTTGCTGCAGACATAAAACATGTTCAAGGAAACCCTCGGTGGACAGTTACAAAGCAAGAGAAACCAAAAGCTCCCTTACAATGTTTGCCAATGTCAGAGTACTGCAAAGGGAGAGGACACACTGGGGCAGGACCATGGTATGGAGGGGAGCAATTCTCAAGGGTGGGGAAGCCTGCAAGGGCTAGAACACTAGCCTTGCTGTCAAATCCTACAGGGTAGTTGTACCAAGAGGCCTTTCTTGACAGAAAGCTTCAGATTTGCTATTGCCAATGCCATGCCCTGCAGGGTTACTTTAACATCCCACATTGAAACAGATCCCTAGGTATTACGAGGAGGGAGGTGCAGCCCTGGGATAAGGCCTGGGAGGTGAAGCCCACCCTTGGGGGTGTCTAAGCCTTGGCCACACATAGCCAGGTCCACCCTGTTGTGGCGCTGGGGGCAACCGAGGGGAAGGTGGGCTGGTGACTTCAGAGGACCCTTCCCACCAGCACATCCAAGACTGCAGTGCTAAGGAAGAAGGTGGAATGAACTAGAAGGAGGATCCGGCAAATTCAATTCCCAGTTTCCCACAGTAAAGACCATCAAACCTCCTATAGGAAACACCAAATGAATGGTATTCAAGCTGGAAGGAAGCAGCTGCCCAATCCTGTTCAATTCCCCATTCAGTGATGGAGGCACATGAAGTTCCAGTCATTTATGAAAGCAGAGTGGTAACTGCAGCCCTTGTCAAAAGTTATCAATCCTGAACTGACTATAACCTGCTTACCTTCCTCAACAGCATCAGTGGCTACAAAAACTCTTTCAAGTTTAAGCATCTCCAAGAGGCTGTGGATTTTCTTTACAGCTCCTTGCAGGGAAGGCACGTCTTCTCTGTGACCCCAGATGAAGTCTTTCCTTCTGAGATGAACCCCAAGGTATGGACCACCTAGAGCTGTGCCCATCTTAACCTAAGAGAGAAAGATCAGTAAGCCCTAAGACTCCAGACCACCACTATTCATTCACACTGAAAAGGCCCGAATCTCTGGATGTGGCACTGAACTACACCAGCTGCAGAAAGTAACTTGGACATATGGGGTAGTGGTATTTTGGGACACACAGTGATGTTTTGACCATGGCTGACCTGCATTATACAAGAGAAACCAGAGTTTGAAATCTCTGTATGCAAATATTGCTCTCCTTGACCAAATCCCCAGCTGGCAGTTGGGGAAACAATAAGCAGAAATACAAGTGAAACGACAGCAACAGAAACCTGGCACCCGTAAGTCTCCATTATCTCATGTCACGAGGGAGAAGAGGGTACAGTTGAAACATGCACAAGCACCTCAACCTGAGCAGGAAGAGCCAGATTCACATGGCTCTTCCAGTATTCCCTGCAGTGTACAGCCAGGAGTACACAAATGAAACAAATCATTACCTTTGTTATGGGAAACAGACTGCTGTGATTTTACCTTCATCTGTGTCCAGTCCTCATTGTAGTGAGTCCTGTCTGCCTCATCGGTGGACTGAAGGTATTTGCTCCTGAACTCATCTCCTGCTACACGGAGGTGTTTAGCAAACACCATGCTCCGACGGGTCTGTTGGAATAAGAGCAGATGTGGAGTGAGAAAAAGGGAGAGCTGAAAATGACCAAATGGAGACAGTTTCACATACACAGAGCTTCCAGGATGCAGTTACTTCTGACACATCCATACAGCACTGCAAGCAGCAACTTCTAACCTTTGATCTGAGCTTTGACTGTTTAACCCTACTCATAACTATGTTTATAACCAGCACATGTGTCTGACCCTGCAATACAGTAGTTATCTATATAACAGAACCTAATATACCAAATTAAACATTCTAGCAATGTACCTCACCTTTGGAAACACAAGCTGGGCAAAGACTTCAGCTTGCAAAACACCTGTAAGACAAAAAACACCTATGGCAGGGGGATGGAACTACATGATCTTAAAGATCCCTTCCAACACAAACCAGCCTATGATCTATGAACTAGAACCTGCCAGCCTCTTTTCACCTTCTCCCAGAGCAGCTATTTCTCAATATGCCGAACTCACTGTGGTTGAACTGGTTTCTCCAGACCATTCAGTAAGATACAGAGCAATTTAAGGCTTCTCTTAAATCCATCACACTGGTACCTGGAGATCTATGCCCCTCTTGATATTTAATGGAAGTAAAAAGCCTGCTCTGCTAGCACCTTTAAAGAGATCAGCCCTGCTTTTCAAATTCCAAATCCTCCGGCAAAACATTTATATTTATACATTTTACATTGTCTGTCCCCATGGCAGGGGGCTGGAACTGAATGATCTTAAGGTCCTTTCCAACCCAATCCATTCTATGATCCTATGATTCTCTATCAAGGGAGGATGCACACAGTGTCTGCTGCAGAATGCTCACACTGCAGTTCAGAGACATTTTCCCTCCTTTTTGTAAGATGTCAACACAATACTCCTGTCAAGTCAAGCCTTTGGGTACCTTACCCAAGCCATGACGAACATGGTATGCCCAAGGGGCAGCAAACATGTACACCACCCATGGCAAGAGCAGTGCACTGGGAAAGACAACATCTTCGAATGCTGTGCTTGTGTCAATCACCTCCAAACCTGGCTTGTTCCAATTTGTAAACCTCTTTGAAACAGGAGGGCATCTTTCAGCAAGATTAAAAAGAACCCCAGATGTTATCCACAGAGTTACTGAGGAAAAAGCCAACACCGAAACCCATGCAGGTTGTTAAAAACTGAAATAAAAGAAAGAAGCCTATTCCTAGTGTTAAATAATTTTGAGACAAGTTTAAAATCGCTGAGGTGATGATATTTATAGTGCCACTAGTAAGAAATGTGTGTTATGGCTTTCACATCTGCTTTTACAGACTCTGAAATGAGTACCTAGATTGCATTTCTGTGTTTGCAAAGTCACTTTCAATGAAAAACAGTAATTAGCAAACTACTGTTTGGTCCATTTCTGACAAAATATGCCATATACCAAGTGAGTAGTCAGATGTGGACATGGTTTAGTGGCGGATTTGGCAGTCCTTGGGTAGCAGTTGGACTCCATGATCCTAAAGGTCTTTTCCAACCTAGTGGACTCTATGATTCTATGTTTGTATTTTACAAGACTGAGGTCTATGTAAGTTATTAGTAACATGAGAGTCACTTTCTCTTAGAAATGTTACAAATATCAAGCACTCCACACTGTGTTCAGTTTTCCCATGGCTGAACCTTCACTTTGCCTTAACATTTTTCATGTAGCAATTATTTCACCACAGACCCCTTGGCTGGGGCCTCCCAAAGTGCTCAGTGTTTCCTTAAAACCTGTGGGAATTTTGCCTTCGAAGCCAATGGGGGGATAGTTACAACAAACAATATTAAGCATTTTCAGGAATTCCTTTGAAAACCCTGGTCTTGAGGCTGCCCAGGGAAGAAACTGCACAAAGGCAGATCCCTTCTCACTGCAGACATGTTGTCCTGTGCCACTGAGTCTTTGGGGACAAGACACCAGGACATTAATGCGTTACATTAATTCACAGCAGCCTGAAGACCATCTTCAGCATACATTGCTGAAACATAAGACAGAAGTTAGTCGAAGAAACCCAGAGCAAAACTGAAGCACGTCTCAGTCACTGAACTGTTATTAGAACCAAGTAGAAAGGCTAGAGAAGCTGGCTGGAAAATACTCACATTCCAGTAATCTCTCCCTCCGTAGTGGTCATGAAGAAGGTTTTCAGCTCTGTCTAACATCACTGACCTATTAAAAATTGTAAAACTGAGTGCAGTGCCCTTAGGAATAGAATGTAGATTATGATTATACAGTTGCTAGGACAAAACACAGGCTACGATCTGTTTGCAAAGGGAGCACAGAGGGGAATGAGGGATAGGATGCCAATCTGTTCTGTGTAAAGCATGTTGTGACCCATTACTTGCTGGGAGAGAAGGGAACCGTGCCACTGTGTGTTCCTGCTCTCTTCCTTATTAAGTGGTGCTCTTAATTATGACAGTTAAACACAAACAAGCATTAATAATTCCTCACATAGTCCTCACAGTAGCTGCTGCTGGAGAAATAAGATTGCCAACAGGGAGAGTGATCCAAAGGGGAAAAGTGACCTATAAGATGATGCCTGGCCTCTGAGGATATGAGAGCCTCTTGCAGGAAGCACGGATTATGCTCACAAAAGTAAAACCAGAGATTATGTTTTCCACGTGTGGAATAAAATATCCTACAGGAAAACAACAGATCAAAGAAGACACAGACACTACAAAAACATGTGTTAGCAATTAAGCACTAAAATTAAAATGAACAGTCTTTGCTTTTCATAAACACACACAGTTGAGGATCATGTACTGGAAGCATAACTGCACTATCTAAGTTTGAAGAAGCAGAAGAGAGTTTTGAGTAACCAAGAACACAGGGGATGTAGGCTCAGTCTATGCTCTGAGCACACTGAATATAAGCGAACACACAGAGAAATGCTTCTGCTGAAGGGGGTCAGAGTCATTATCTGGACCTTCTACTAAAATGAGAGGAAGCAAATAACAAATCAACTTCAGATTATCACTGCTGATAATCAGCTGGACACTTGCACATAAAGCTAATCTGGAAAACAGGCTAGATTGTGCTGGTGGAGAAGCAGCACTGCATTTAACAGGAAGTTTGGAGATGAATCAGATTACACACCTGAAGAGTTATAGTATAGGACTACGACCACACAACTAATTGTCTGTCCAAAAGGGCAATAAGGGAGATCAGAGAGGTGCAGGTCACCATAGCCATCAGAGATTTCACATATCGCCAGGTAGGCAGGGCAAGTGTCACAGCAGGATGTGACTAAGCAACTGCAGTTTGAGACATTCTCAAAGACAGGTCCATCAACCAACTGGGCAGGGAGCAGCTCTTGACATTGTCTTGAGCAGCAGGAAGACACGGCCCAAAATCTCACAGTGGAAGAGTTCCTGTTACAGGGGCCATAAATGTACTCTTCTTCAACATCCTACTGGATCAACAATGGCCAAAGGAACGTTACTGCAGTTGCATTCAGCTTCAAACAGGGGACTATGCAAAAGTGCAGAAGTGTCCAAGTGAAGAAAACAGAAAGGTTCATAAACTCCATGAAGCTAAACAGTAAAAGATGATAAAGTAAAAAAAAGAATTTGATCATGAAGAAATAAAAGCCTTCAATCCTAATGACAGGTCTTCATTCCAATACAAAGAGATAGGGAATTAAAGGCTTAACGAGCACTTAGAGACAACATCACAACAGAAACATCTCATGTGAATTTTTGCACTAGGTGGTGGAGCTGGGAAGATTCATAAGCCAGAGCTACTTTTTACAGGGGAACTCATCAGAGAATGTGTCTTAAACCAAAGCATCCATAGGAAATATCCAGGAATGGAACAGCAGGACAAAATGAACCAACAAATGGCCAACACCTAGCACGTGTTCAGCCAACAGCTGGGATAATGTTAGCTCCATCTCCCATGTAAGAGCTTTGCCTTCTTTTCCTCTGGTTATCCTTGTGGCATCTCACAGCAGAAAGACAAAGCATGCTGCTTGCTTCTCTAAACCCAGCTTGCACTATTGAGGATGGACATCACAGGAGACCAGGCACTACACCTTGTGATCCGAGATGTGGGCTTGGGAAACACTGATTCCACTCTGCTCATTCCCTCTTAACCCAGCATTGAAGGATAAAGGAAGGAAAGATAAACACAAGGTGGCAAGGACATTTAGCTACTGGAGAAAGAACATAAAGGAGCTCAAGGCTACTTCCTCTTAGCTTCTAGCACTGCAGCATTTACCCTAACTTACAGTTAGGTGTTTCTTACACTGTAAATTCCTCTGTAATGACTTTAGTGGATTATAGTGACTCAGTGATGAAGTACCACAACAGTGACACATAGCCTGTAACCTCTCCCTGCTCTTCACACCAGGCAATGTTTCTGTGGGCACACAATACAAAAGTAGTAACACAAGGCAACTCACTGTGCTGAAGTGTTCTTCAAAAGGATGGGAGCCACGATAGAGGCAGATCCTTGGACAGACAAACAAGAGACATTTAGGCCCCGTGTCTCCTGGTAACCCCAGAACCATCCCCTGAAAGGGAACACAAAATACTGATTCACAGGCAAATGTCTCATTAAATACAACTAAAACGAAGACTAAAAGGACAGCTAGATGTTACCTGTAGTACTCGTGTTTGTCTTTGGAGTACATAAGCTGATCAATGCATGGCCTTTCATCTATTTTTTCTTCCCATGTTCCTTCTTTCCATCCTTCTGCGTAGCCTTGTAGGACGTAAATCTGTTCAATAAAGGGCCCACCTGACTCTGAGCAGAAGGCAAAGCATTTGTGAGCATGAAAAACCATGATAAAGGTATAAATTAGCACTGCCTGCAGTTAAAACTCTGCTAGAAATGCTAACATTAGACTACACTCCTCTGTTCCCTATAAAAAAAAAAAAGTTCTGTGTGAGCCAGAAAAGCTCAAAGGGCCAGGAGATGTCACAACCTGTTACTCTCACTCAGCTATGAGTGACTTAATGTGCCACACAGAACTGAATCACCACGGGAATGTACATTTAGAAACTAAGTAAAACACACCATGAGGCACAGAGGTTTTCAGGGCTGCAGGTAGCTTCTGTGGGAAGACTGCCTCCAAGAAAATGACAAGTACAAGCCCTTTTCCCCAAAGTATCAGGGTTTCTAAATCCTAAGGAACAGAGATCCCTTCAGCGCTCTTGGCAGAGATGTGGCATTTTATTTCACATATAACAGTATATACGTAAGGATAAACCTGAGAAGAAACCACCTTATATATTTAGTCAGGTGTAGACTGTATGATTCCATACTCTACCTGCAAGAAATTGCTCGTATTCAATGACAGGAATGTTCCTGTTGAGGCTTGGGAGATCAAAGAACTCAGACCAAGGGAGCCGGACCTGAAGGATGTCGGGGCTCTGCCAGTGATAAAGACGTCCCCAGGGAGGCAGAACTAGCACCCAGTTTTCACTTTTCAGCAAGGTCTTTAAAAGGGAAGCAATGCGAATGTACACATCTCTGCGGAGGTTAAACCCTTCAGGAGGATTTACATCATACAAAAGGTATCTGCAAAGAACAAAGCAGTATAATTAATTCAAAGAGCTTAAAACTTGTAGGTGTGTTTTAATCTTTACCCCACAATGATGTCACACAACTGTACTAAGGTGGAGGCTGTTCCTTTTTCATGAATCTGTGGTACTCAGAAGATGGAAGGGGACGAAGCAGGGGAAGGCAGTGGTGTGCACTGTAGTGGCTGGGAGTCTCCTCAGGGGACATCATCAAGGTGATACACAGAATCAATCAGGTTGGAAAAGACCTTTAATAAGCTCATCCAGTCCAAACCTTACCCCAGCATTACCAAGGCCACCATTAACCCATGGCACTCAGGGCTTCATCTACATGGTGTATGAACACTTGCAGGGACGGTGACTCCAGCACTGCCCTGTGCAGCCTGTTCCAATATCTGAGCACCCTGTGGGGAAGGAATTGTTCCTCAGCTCCATCTAAACCTGCCCTGGTGCAGCTTGGGGCCGTTTCCTCTTGTCCCACCCCTTGTTCCTTGGGAGCAGAGCCCAGCCCCTTCTGGCTCCATCCTCCTGTCAGGCAGTTGTAGGCAGCAATAAGGTCCCCCCCTGAGCCTTCCCTTCTCCAGACTAAACCCCCACCCCGCGGTCACTCAGCTGTTCCCCATCACACTTGTGCTCCAGGCCCTGCATCAGCTCCACTGCCCTTCTCTGGACATGCTCCAGCTCCGCAATGTCTCTCTTGTAGTGAGGAGTTCAAAACAGAGCACAGCATCATAAGCCTTTCCTGCAGAGGAGCAGGACGCAGGGCCTCAAGGAGCAAACCCTCAGATGTCTTGCCTGTCCAGAGCAGTACACGGTATGTGGTACGACTGGTGAAATGACTGGCACGTTACTCAGCCTAACTCCTGTGCACCAGAAGTGAAGGTGTGAGTACACATTCGGGAGGGACAAGGGGAAAACGGTGCAATTGAGGCCATACTCAGAGCAGGAAAGCCCCTGTGACGGCTACAGCATCTTTCAGAAACCAAACCCAGCAGCAGCAGATGACGGAAGACCTCGGCTCAGAGAGGCTCCCTCGGGACACCATGCAGGGAGGCTGCGATGACAGGAGAGCCCCGGGGCCGGGTGTGCTGCCGCTGAGGCCCGCAGTGACCGAGGGGGAACCCGCTCTTCACCTGGTGCGCGGCGCGGCAGCGGCGACGGGCAGCGAGGACGCGGCGTGGCCGGCGCGGAGAGCGTCGGGGGGTGGCTGCGCGGCGGCGGGCAGAGAGAGGACGAGCACGGCGAAGCCCAGCAGCACCAGCGGCGGCGGGAGGCGGCATGCAGAACACTGCGCCGCCATCCCCTCGCCACGCCACGTCCGGGGCGGCCCCGGTCGCGGCCCGGCCCCTCGGGGCGGCCCCCTCAGAAGAGGCCCGCGGTGAGGGGCCGGAGGCTGGCGCCGGTGAGGCGATTCAGCTCCTGCAGGATCTCCATCTCCTTCTGGTACATCTGCGGGAGAGGACACACTGTCAGCGCCGCTGGGTTAACGGCGTCCAAGGCGAGCCAGGGCCGCGGGGCCCGCGGCTTCCCGGTCACAAAAGAGGATGCTTTCCACGACGAGACACAGCCGGACACCGCACACCGGTGCCGTGTGCCGGGCATCGCCGTACCTGTTGCCACTCGGCTTCTGTGTTGTGCTGGTAGCCAAGCAAATGGCACAGTCCGTGGGCTGCCGTCACCTGTGCAAAGAGACACGAGAATAAAGGACGTGTTGGAAAGGGGCTCAGAGCACCCTGCTCTTGTGGAAGGTGTCCCTGCCCGTGGCAGGGGTTGGAACTGGATGAGCTTTAAGGTCCCTTCAACCCAAATCAGTCTGTGATATTATGAAACTTCACCCCAACACCGCACAGCCCCGTTGTAGGAGAAATAACCAGGGTTAGCCCCGTACCCCATCATTTCCCATTTTGCCATTACTTGCAGCAGGGAAAAACCAGTACTCTGCCTTGCAGAAGGACAAAGCCCAGGCAGTGTCCTCCCGCAGTTAAGTAAACTTTAAAACACAGCGTTAACCTTCCAAGGGTAAACCTCCTTATTCAGCCGGGCCGGGCTAGCAAAGCGGCAGCCGCTACCCTATCCCCATGGGACACCGCACGCTGCCCGTGTCCGCAGCGGGAGGCCCGGCGGCCCCGCTGTCCGCTGCGGCGCTCACCGCCAGGACGCTGTCGAAGTCCTCCCCGGTGTCACGGCACTGCTGATGGATGTACTCTACCCCCAGGAAGATATCCCCCAGGTTGTACTCGTCGCGGCAGCGCGGCCGCGGCAGCTCCCCCGGCGCCACCCGGTGGAAGGGGAAGGAGAGGACGTCGGTGGGCTCCGGGCAATGCCGGTACGCGCCGTTCAGACGCTTCATCAGCCCGTTTCCGGCGCACACCAGCCCCACATCGAAGCGAGAGGCGCCCAGCGCGGCCCGCAGGGCGCACACCGCGCGGCGGAGCGGGGCACGGCGCACCGGCACGGCCCGCTGGGCGTTCCGCAACGCCACGCTCATGATGGCGACCGCGGTGGCGGCACGACCCTGCCCGCCCCTTTCTTCCTTACCGCCCCGTTCCGTCCCGCCCCGCCGGTGGTACCCCGCCCGCTGAGAAGAAGTGGCCGCCCGCCCGCCGCCATGAATGCCGGGGGCCCGTTCCGCGGGCCGCCCGCCTTCCCGCCGCCCCTGCGCTTCGGGCAGGCCGCCGTTTTCGGGCAGGCCGGTGCGGCCTCTGGCCTCCCCTTCACCACGGGGCCCTCTGCCTTCGGGCCGCCCATCGGGCTAGGCCAGGCGCCGGCCTTCACGGCGGCGGGCAGCGGCAGTGCCCCGGCGGGCAACGCGGGGTTCAGCTTCAAGCCGCCCACCAACCTGGGCAGCTTCCCGGGGCCGAGCGAGGCGCCGGGCGGCGGCGGGGCCTTCGCGGCGCCCGAGTTCCGCTTCAAGGCGCCCGAGAGCGCCGCCGCCTTCAAGCCGCTGACGAGCAGCGAGGCGGAGAAGGGCCCCGCTGCTGCCTTCACTTTCTCGCCGCCCTTCGGCTTCGCGCCCGAGGCGAGCCCGGAGGTGACGGCGGGGGGACCCTTCTCCTTCTCGCGTCCCGCCGCCGCGCTGGGCCGGCAGGAGGAGAAAGGCCCGCGGCCGCTCTTTGAGGAGCCGGGCGAGCCGGCGTCCAAAGGCCTGAAGCGGAAGGAGGAGCGGGAGCGCTCTCCCCGGCGGGCAGCGGCGGCGAGCGGACGGGCGGCGGCGGCACCGCCGGAGAAGCGGGCGGTGGTGCTGAGCCGGCCCCGCGGCGGAGCGCTCTTCGGCCGCATGCTGAAGGAGATGCTGCGCAGCCAGGGCCGCGGCCAGCGCGACCGCGGGGAAGCCGCCGAGGGCGAGCGGGGACCCACAGAAGATACGCCGCCGGTCGAGGCCCGGGACCCCCCTCGGGAAGGTAGGATGGGACGGGGGGAGGTCCGTGTCACCCCGTGTCCCCCCGTGTCACCGCGCGCTCTGAGGTCGCTGCCTCCCTTCTCATAGATTCCGCCGCCGTGACCCCTGCCCGCCGGGGTCGGGGCAGCGAGAGCATGGAGGGTCTGGGGGGCCTGTCGCCCAGCGACCTGACCGCCATCCAGTGCAAGAACGTCCCCGATTACCTCAACGACAGGACGGTGCTGGAGAAGCACTTCGGCCAGTTCGCGAAAGTCCGGCGGGTCATGACCAGGCGCAGTAAGAAAATGGCCATTATCCACTTCTTTGATCATGTGAGTACTGGAAGCAATTGGCACAAGAACAGGTTCAGGTTTGAGTGCTTGGGGTGGGTGCAGTGAGAACTGCATCCCTGTGGTGGTGCCGGTGTGGTTTTCACTTGGCAGAAAGTTTTGTATTGTGAGCACCGTGTTACAGACGGGTGGAGGCACACTGAACTGCACCTAAGGCATAGTAACTGCCAGAGTTCTGCCTGGTTTGAGCTGTCCTGCTAGCATCGAGCTCAAATACCAAATGGATCTCCTGTTTGTTGTCTCTTTATGACCAAACCTGATTTACACATGATGCTGCTCTCCTGCTGGGGCTCAGCAGCACCAAAGGTGAGGTAAACTTGGGTAACCTCTGCAGAGTGACCTTTTTGCTGGAAGCACTGCTGTTACCTCAATGCTGAGATGTGTTGAGAAGCTGGTTCAGAGACTGCATAGTCTGTTCCCGTTTTCTGCTTAAAAACACATCTTTGGGCTCTAAGGTTACTGGAGCTCTTGGAAGTTTTGTGGAATTTTTGTGGAAGTCAGTCCTGCTAATTGCATGCAGGTCTTAAGTGAGAAGCTAAAATGGGGTAACCAGAACCTTACAGAAACTGGTAAATGTTTCTCTGGCGAAACCTGCACTGCCTATTTTGGGGTGATGCTCATGGGTTTTCAAGTTTTCATGCTCTGCTTTTGGTTTCTTTCAGGCCTCTGCAGCTCTTGCCAGAAAAAAAGCGAAAGAGTTGCACAAAGATATAGTAACATTTTGGCAAAAGAAGAAAACAAGTAAGTCTGTGTTTCCAGATAGGATTACTGAGTGATATATGAATGGTGTGCCTTCTGCTCCGTTCTTGTTTCCTCATGTGCTAAAATGATCTCCATATAGGAATGCTAAAGCTCCCAAAGTATAATTCTAGATCCCAGACTGGTTTGTGTTGGAAGGGACCTTAAAGATCATCCGGCTTCAACCCCTGCCACAGGCAGGGACACCTTCCACTAGAGCAGGTTGCTCCAAGGCCCTGTGTCCATCCTGGCCTTGAACACTGCCAGGGATGGGGCAGCCACAGCTTCTCTGGGCACCCTGTGCCAGCTCCTCAGCACCCTCACAGGGAAGAACTTATTCCTAATTTCTAATTAGATTGCACTCTGTTTGAACTTAGTCATTCCTCCTTGTCCTGTCCTTATAGGTCTTTGTCAGAAGGCCCTCTCCAGATTTTTTGTTGGCCCCCATTATGCTGTTAAGTGTTAATATTAAGGCTATTAACCTGTTAAGGCTGTTAACACATGGGTGATGTTAATTTTGTGCTCCTATCTAGAAGTAGGACGATCTTTGTGGGTGTAAGAAAACCCAGTTTCAAATGCCTTGCTGCCCACTTCAAAGCCTAGTCTGGCATGTGGGCTTCCTGAGAACTGAAGTAAAGAGACCTCTGGAGTGAGTGTCTGTGGTGTTGAGCTTGCTGTGTGGCATATCAACAATTGCATACTACTTGAACCAAAAAGAGAACAGTCTACAGAGAACTGAGTTCAGCAGTGGAAAACCTGAATTGGAATTAGGGCAAGAGGAGATGTCAAGTTGTCAAGTGCTTCCTATTCCTTAGCTTTGTAAGGGCTGCATGTGTGCTTTGGAGATCCTAGCCTGGGCTTAGGCTTCATCTGTCAGCAGATGAATGGTTCACCACAGCTTTGACCAACCACAGACTTGCCTTCGAACAGTGAATAGCTGCGGAGTTGTCTTCCTGAGAATGAGCATTTTGAAGCAGCAGCTGTAGGGGTGCCTGTTTGCCTTTGAAGGTATAACTCTTGAGAAGTCACACCAGCCTCAGCCTAAGCTTGGGTATGTGAAATAAATGCTTAACATGCTTCAGCCGGAGCACTGGGAATTGTGATTTATTGTAAGTGAAATGGATTTCATATCCCATACAGAATTATGGCTTGTGGATTATATACTAGCCCTGAAAGGACTTGAATTCGGACAATGGTCAGACTTCATCTGCTGACCAATTACTGGTATTGCTAAGTGATGGTTTACTGAAAAATGCTTCTTATAGAACAGTGAAGCTGACTAGCAACTGGTAGACTTACTCAGTACCGCTTCAAGTTGTCCTGGAAGTTTTGCATACGTGTCCAAAACTGACTCTTAGTTTTATTTCCTAATAGTTTTGTTTTGATATTTTGTTTTCTGAAGCAAACTGTTAAACAGCACCACCATGGGGGAAAAAGTTGTTGTGTAAAGTGGCAAGTACCCGGCTTCATGTTTATATGTCACTTCAGGTCCAGCAAAAAGAGAGTTTTCATCCAAGGAGAAGAAAGCAGGTGAAGATGAAGGAAGGCAAAGCAGTGAAGAGCAAACCTATCAGCATTCCCCTCTTCGAAAACCTTTAATAAGATCTTCTGGCAGCGGTGTGATACCTGGTAGAAGGTATGTCTGCTCCTCTGGGAGCCATCTGGCAGGAAATGGGGTGAACAGGGGAAAATGATGATCTCTGTGTGTGCCAAATAGTCATATTCTTATCAGGGAGTGTGCTTTCCTTGTCTTTTCTGGTTTGTCTGAGTTACAAGGTCACAAATCTTAGACTTGGTCAGAAGGATACTTCTGACTGCATTTTAAGTTTGGATCGTTTTCTTGTCTCACTTCAAGTGGATGGTCTTTGTAGAGGAATCTTCCTGGTTTGTGTCAATTGCTGAAAGGACAGGGTTGTCATCTTTCTGTGGCACCTTAATGGTGTGCCCAGTTTGGTATATATACCAGTCTGTACCTATTTGGTACAGGTAATCATGTAACTATAAAATCAGTAATATCTTGTGAAGGAACGAATGCTCCTTGATTTACAAAGTATGTTTGTATCTGGGCGCTGTAAAATCTTTTCATAATCTCTGTTTCTATAGAAAACACTTGGTGACATGGTTAATGGTGGACTTGGCAGTCCTGGGCTAATGGTTGAACTTGATATAAAGGTCTTTTCCAACCTGGTTGATTCTGTGATTCTCTTTCTTCACACCAAGCAGCAGGCTAGCTCCTGGTTTAAAATGCAAACTGATGTGCCATGGTGATTCAAAAAATGCTGCAGCAGCCACCTGGTTTTATCCACTCTTAAGAGACCTTCAGTAATACCAAACTTTGTTGTACAAAGTTTGATGCTTTCACCACAGTCTGGAATGCTTGGCAGTGTTGCCAAGGCAATGCTGAGGATTTAAGAGGATTAAATCCTTGTGCTGGTGTTAGCTTGTAACAACCTTGGTATTTCAATACATACTTGCTTACTTGATACATCGTCTTATGAATAAAATATTCTTCTGAACAGAGATGTTGATGTCCTAAAGAAAAAGTGAACTGATTAAGGCTGGGGCATGCATTAATAAATTACTGATGATATATCTTCTGGTTTTAGTTCTCCAGCAAAGAAGTCTGGTCTTCGAAAGGCACTGCAGTTTGAAGCAGAAATGTTTGATTCTACTTCTGAAGGGCAGAGCTCAGAGGCCTTGGGAGCTTCTCTGTCGTCTCTTAGTAACCTGGTAGGATTAGTGGCTGAGACATCTGAAGAGAGATACCGTCTTTTGGACCAAAGGGACAAAATCATGCGACAAGGTAATCACACAAGTTAATGAGTGTAATATCTGCTTTTCTGATCTAAACAAACAAAGTGTTTGGTGTCTGCTGTGGTACTATGGAAATGGCTTTAAAGAGAGTAACATGGAGCAGTCTAAAATACCCTTCTGTTGTACATATATATACATTAATTTCTTGCAAAACATGCAAAAACCTGTTATTGCACATGGTTATTGTGGAAAGTGAATAGCAGACTGTTCATCTGTGAAGGAGGCTGTGTGGGGAGATCTGCACCCCTGCAGGCTCGCTGAAGAAAGCTATGCAAGACTGTGTTTCTCTAAATTCAAACTACTGATTATTTCAAGAGATGGCACTTTGTTTAACAGAGTGCCGGGTTGTAAACCCTTCCATCCTCCTCTTACCATTTCAAAGCTGACCCTGCTCTTAATGTCTTATTTTTAATATCCACAAACAAATTTCTCACCTGCTTCATGTGGGATTATGAAATTGCCAGTGCTTAGTTAGGACACAAAACATAGGGTATCTTTTAGAGGTTTCAGTCTTCTCAATCTCGATATCCAGGTGGGACTGTAGGAGAAACTGACCCAAACGAATGGGACAGGTCCCAGCATGGGAGAACCCCATCCTTGTGTGTTTCTGACCCACTCCAAGTTGTGGGGCATAGCCCTGCCCTAAACATAAGTAGGCTGGGAACCTCTAGAGACCTTTTCCCACCAGCTCTTTCTGTAACTGTTTCTCCAGCAATGTATTTCTTGACCAGCATACAGATCCCAGCTGTGGGTCATCTGGCATGCTTAGGCCTGTGTTGACACATCAGGATAAAAGCTCATTATGAAAACAAACTAATGTTTGTTTGTGTTTCCTTAGTGTTCATTCGATTTTATTTTTCTCTTTTTTTAGCCCGAATCAAAAGGACTGATCTTGGCAAAGCAAAAACTGTTATTGGTACTTGCCCAGACATGTGTCCTGAAAAGGAGCGCTACATGAGGGAGACAAGAAACCAGCTCAGCATCTTCGAGTTGCTTCTAGGATCTGACAAGGTATGAGCCCTCTGCATGTGGGCGTTTGTTGTTCCTAGGTCATCTTGCTGCTTAGGTAAAGCTGTCAGTGTTGTTTAGCTCCATTACAAGGGTTAATTATGGTGGAAAAATTCTGTAGGTCATTTCAATAACTTCTCTCAATTCCCAGCTTTAAAAGAAGGAGGCTAGAAAATTCCTTTTTTCACTGTCACGGCTTTTACTTAGCTACAGGTCAGCTTTTAGAGGTATAGTTCTAAAACTGTAGGGCAGCAGTTTATGTTGTCTTGAAGATTATGAGACTGAGTCAACACTTAGGATCCTGTCATAAAAGAAAATGTATTTGCTATTGTAGCAGAATGGACATGAACTGCTAGTGTAAACAGTGGAAAAGCCCCTTTAATAATCTGCTCCTTATTAAAGTAAAGGCGTGGATGGGATGAAATCCTCTATACTCCTGAGAAGTTGAACATACTCCTTGGGCTTTGATTCTTTTCTCCATATGCTGCAGGTAGATCATGCAGCAGCAATCAAGGAATATAGCAGGTCTTCAGCAGATCAGGAGGAGCCTTTGCCCCATGAACTGAGACCCTCTGAGGTGTTGAGCATGACCATGGACTATTTAGTGACAAACATTATGGATCAAGGAGAAGGAAACTACCGAGAATGGTATGACTTTGTCTGGAACAGAACTCGTGGAATAAGAAAGGTAAATGCTGGTGGATGGAGGTGTTTGCTAAGAGAAAACAAAAGATCATGTAATGCTGTAAAAAGTGTAGCAAAAAGCAGTAGTAATTTAAATGTTTTGAATTGCAAAGTGACTTGGAGAATGGTTGAAATGTGTTTTCCAAAGGTAGTGCCAGTTGACTATGCTCTTCAGCTGTAGTTTAAAGACACATGCAGTGTGTTTTGTATCATTCTGGCTAGGATATCACCCAGCAACATCTCTGCAACCCGCTGATGGTGTCTCTGATTGAGAAGTGCACTCGCTTTCACATCCATTGTGCTCACCACTTGTGTGAAGAGCCCATGTCCTCCTTTGATGCCAAAATCAACAATGAGAACATGACTAAATGCCTGCAGAGCTTGAAGGAGATGTATCAGGACCTGGCTAACAAGGGGGTTTACTGCAAGAGTGAAGCAGAGTTCAGAGGCTATAATGTCTTGTTGAATCTCAACAAGGGGGATATTCTCAGGTGGGAGCAACAGATATCACTTGTTTTCTCTCTTTGCTTTGGGAAGAATTGTGATTAGGATTAAGTCCTGAGAAATTGTAATGGAAGCAAATAATCTTAGTTGCAGAGGGTTTTTTTGCCATAGAAAGTGTACTGTAGTAATGTTTTATTTGATGTTTCCAATAGGTCCTTTTAAGAAGTTTCACTGCTTTATCTGCAGTAGAACCAAGGAAAAGGGAAAAACCATTTCATGGGCAGAGGCATACTTTGCTCTTCTGGTCAACCTCTTGCCTGCCTTCCTCCCTAGCCAATGGAGTGATGTACCTATATAATAACATGCTGATGATGCAGGTATCATTAGAAGATTAATGATCAGGAAATGATACTGCAAGTTTAATTCACAGCCATTTGGTTTGGGCAGGAGTTGCCTGTCTTGCTTATAGTTCCTTATTTTAATTCCCTTTTGTTTCAGGTTGCTATTGAATTGTGACTGTTACTATTGAATTGTGATTGTTGCTATTGAAGCAAAAGGGTTGTCTCTGTTTTTTTGTCTCCACAGAGAAGTACAGCAGTTTCATCCAGAGGTTAGAAACTCTCCTGAAGTTAGATTTGCTGTTCAAGCTTTTGCTGCATTGAATAGCAACAACTTTGTGAGGTTCTTCAAGTTAGTGCAAGCAGCTTCCTATCTGAATGCCTGTCTCTTACACTGTTACTTCAACCAGGTGAGAAAAAGGCAGATATATGTTTTCTTAAGTGTTTATAAGAAAAAACAGTCTGGGATTTTGGGGAGGAAATCTCAGCAGAAAACTTGGTAGATATTTAGCCTTACAAATAATCTTATTCTTGCTTCTTCAGAAGCATTTAAAAACATATCAAGAGTGTTCAGCCGTAATAGAAAAGGCAGATACTTTTTTCTCCATAACTGTGTACAGATACATAGTATTTTCCCTGAAAATAATTAGGAAGCAGAGAAGTGAGGCTTTTGCAGAGAAAGCATGAACCTGCAGTTTCAGATGCCTTGGCAAGCTTTTTCTTCTGTACAAGAGTCACAAAGGGATATGCTCAAAATGTGCATCATTATAAAAGAGCAGAAACTAGAAAGCAAATTAAATCTGTGTAGTTGTTTGTGTGGCTATTTAACAAAGTACTGATTTCTTTTAAACATGATTTTTACACTTATAGTTACACTTGATAGTAAATTTGGGGTTCTCTGACTTGGTAGTTACAAGGCTTTTTCTTTCCTTCCCCCAGATCCGTAAAGATGCTCTCAAATCTCTCAACATTGCCTACACTGTGAGCACCCAAAGATGTACAGTGTTTCCCTTGGATCACTTGGTCCGCATGCTCCTGTTCAAAGACTGTGAAGAAGCAACTGATTTTATAAGTTACTATGGCCTGAGTGTATCTGATGGGTAAGTGTAAGGGGAAGGGCTCTGTGCCTCAGTGGAGTAAAACCAGTGTTAGGTGAAGCATTAATGTAGATAAGCTGCTCCTGCTTGTTTGTGACCAGGCAAAGTAAAGAAGAGGCGAAGAATAAGGGCTAGGCTCTGTAAGCAAAAGCACAGGGACAGTGATGCGTACAGATTTTAGTAATCTGTTTGTTATTGTAATTATGAAAATGTCTTTAATTTTACATCTTTCCATCAAGAAATGGGGTTTGTATCCCTGTGACTAGCATAACTTCCCATGATAGCTTTTTTGCACGTGTACATTTACCAGTCTTTACTTGGTTTGATGAGGTGACAAGGGATTTCAAGACACCAAAATTCCTTCAGCCTTCTGGAAGGTTGAATCTGGAACTCTGTCTCCACTGGATTCCAGGGTCTTTCTCCCTAGATTGTGGATAACCCTGTAGAAAAAATTAAATAGTTTCAGGTTCTTATCTTGCAGCTGAATTGTAGGAAATAAATGAGGATACAGTTCTGCCTTTCAGGAAACTGGTGTTATTGTGATGTATGTAGTGCAGGATGAAGGAGAACAGTGCAAACTCAGTTTTTCTGAGGATGTTGGAAGCCAACAGTTTGCAGATAAGAATATCTTCCATAGAAATATGTACAATGTAAAATGTGCCCCTGCAGATTGCCAGTCTCAGAAGACTGAAGAAGACAAAAGCACATGAGCATGCCAGCTAGTGTTCTATTTCCTGTTAACATTCTGGTTTGAAAGAATGAATTCACTAGACTACAGATTCCAAAAATTAGAAGATGATTGTACCTTTTAAAATTACTTCTGTAGATAGCCCTGGCATCTATGATGTGGGCTGTATCTATCCTGAGAATGATCATGGACTGGAGCACTTCCATACAAAGACAGGCTGAGAACATTGGGGCTGTTCAGCCTGGAGAAGAGAAGCTGAGTGGAGACCTCAGAGCAGCTTCCAGTATCTGATGGGGGCTACAAGGATGCAGACAGGGACTCTTCATCAGGGACTGTAGCGATAGGACAAGGGGTGGTGGGTTCAAACTGAAACAGGGGAAGTTCAGGTTGGATATAAGGAAGAAGTTCTTTACTGTGAGGGTGGTGAGGCACTGGCACAGGGTGCCCAGAGAAGCTGTGAATGCTCCATCCCTCACAGCGTTCAAGGCCAGGTTGGACAGGACCTTGGGCAACATGGTCTAGTGTGAGGTGTCCCTTCCCATTATAGGGGATTGGAACTAGATGATCTTAAGGTCTTTTCCAAACCAAACTATACTAGGATTCTATGTAATCTAGGTAAAACTATAATACACACAGTGAATAAAGGTTAAAAGGAGAAAGACACAGAACAGTCTACGAGGGTGCCCAGGAACATTAGTACGGGAGGATAGGTGTGAGGACAGTGCTCTCTGCCTTCCCTGTTCTGGTTCCAGCTAAAGACTGAGATCTAGGCTACAAGAAGCAAGCCAGAGTGCCCAGTGCCTGGCTCACTTTGCCCCCACTAACTGAAAACCTATAGTTTACTGGAGCTTTGAGGATGTACTCCTGGTTTTTATGTTTCCCTAGGGCTTACGTGGAGCTGAATCGCTCAGCTTTCTTGGAGCCAGATGGATTACCCAAACCACGGAAATCCATGTTTGTCAGCCAGAAGCTAACTGTCTTGGTTGGGGAAGTTGTAAATGGTGGCCCATTGCCTGTGGTACCTCACCATGTGCCTGTGTCCAGCTTCAATGGACAGAACAAGTACATTGGTGGAAGCACCTCTGTGGATCAAGCTAGTACTAGCCAAAAATGCAGTGTTGAAGCAACAGGTAAGAGCAGACATGCAGTTTTAGATACTGCTCAGGAGCATACTTCTGTGTTGGCTCTGTGAGAAGTCCTGTTTTACGAAGCGGGAACTGTTCTTTACTCATGGGTTGAAATTGCACGGAAATTTGGATGTAATGGGAGCATGCTTTCATTTAAATGTACTTCGGTATCTAAAAGCTAAGAAGCAACCTGATTAATAAAACACATTCCCTAATACAGGAAACACACTAAGGGAAATGAGCACAATTTTGCCAGCTTGGGTGATAAGCAGTAGCAGTCATTTTTCTCCTCAGTAGCTGGTGCAGTGCTGTGTTTTTGACTTTCAGCCTGGGAACAGCGCTGATAACATGATGTTTTTAGTTGTTGCTCAGTAATGTTTCCTCTGACCAAGGACTTCCTGAGTCTCATGCTCTGCCAGGGAGGAGGGGAAGCCGCGAGGGAGCAGAGACAGGACACCTGACCCAAACTGTCCAAAGGGGTAGTCTGTACCACAGCATGTCATTCATGCCCAGGATATAAACGGGGGGGAGTTACCTGGAAGGGCTAGATCTCTGCTCGGGTCGGCAGGTGGTGAGCGGCTGTATTCTCTCTCCTTGTTATTTCCCTCACCATTATTATTACTGGTGTTAGCAGCAGTGGTTTGTGTTATACCTTAGTTACTGGACTGTTCTTATCTCAACCTGTGGGAGTTACATTCTTTTGATTCTCCTCCCCATCCCTCTGGGAGCGGGGCGGGGGTGGGGGGTTCTGAGTTACTGGCTGGGCATAAACCACGACAGTGAAATCACCAGGTATTGGTCTCCTTCAGACAGCCAACTTTCCTCTTCAGTTTGCAGGTTTTGTATTGCAGCTGTTCACAGCGTGTGTATAAAATCATGTTGGTTTTCAGGTTTGCTGAACATAGGGTTTTTTTGGTTGAAAGTACAGCTCTTCTATATGTTCAAGAGGGGGTGTAGGTGCTAGGTGTATTTGCCTTAAAACAGTTGTTTTATTAGGAATGTATTTAATGTGCACTAAAAATGTTAATGCTTTATATAAAATAGCCATAAATTAGTTTCTATGATGTAACTGTATATTTAACTTCAAGGCAGCAAGCCTCTGTTATGTGCTTGTTTTATGATGAAGTTTATCAGAGAAGCCAGCTTTTGAAGATAATACTTTTGCTTCTACTTGTGACTGACGTGGCTTCCTTAATTTTTCTCCTCCCCCCATCCCAAGAAGGAAGAATGGAAAGCAAAGGTGTGGATTTAGATGTTGCAGCAGTAAGAGTCCAGCCTCCAGCTCATCTTCTGCCCTCGCTGTTACCTCGTCAGCTTGTGCCAGTGCTGCCTCCTCCACAGACCATCTCCCAACCTCCTGGACAACCTGAGCCTCTCTCTTCAAAGCCTCAGCCTGCCTACACAGACACAGTAAGGAAATCTAAATCCATCATGAAGTATGAGGGAAAGATCTGTGAAAATAATTAAAGATAACTGAGTTCTTAGGTTGTTTTAGTTCTCCAGAATCTGCACGTGTTATGTGTAGAATCAAAAGGAGATGCTCCCTGCTTCAGTGCTTTGGATACCTTGAGAACTTGTTTCCTTGAGCTATTCTGAAAAGAGAAAGTCTTGAATGATTTCATGTGCAACCCTGACACAGGATAAACAGTCTCATATGATCAGCACTTACCTGAGAAACCTCTAAGGAGAGAACCAGAAAGTGATAGTAGAAAGTGATTATCTTTGACTTAGTAGGTAAACTTTGCTTTAGTGAACAACACTGAGCTGTTTCTTAATGACACGTTTCATATATGAGACATGACAAAGTTTCTCCTGGTGGGTCTGTGACTATTGATGTTAGATCTTGAACATGTACCCTGTGTATCTGTGCTATTCCTCTTTTTCTAGCTTCCACACGTTTAGATACGTACTAATGCTGAACCCGTCTCAGAGTCTCTCATTGCTTTGTAAGCTAGTGCTGCCTATTCTACCTAAACATGGCTGCATATCAGTGAAGGTTAGACCTGGTCATTTGGAATTAAATCAGCTAGAATGAGAAAAACTCAAGAAAAGAGGAATCCCTCTCAAAATTCACTTTTAGCTACTGTTTCCTGACTTGACTTGTCCATATTTATTACAGAAAGCTGCTCCTGTTTCTGGGCTGCTACTAGCCTTTTAGGTAGTCTTAAATTTCCAGGCTGTATGTTTGATGAAGTTAGCTTATTTTGTAAGTAGAAATACAGATAATATTGCCAATTCCAGTCAATTAAACAAGGCTGAAAAGCCTTATTCCCAGTTCACATCTGTGCCCAGGCCATCCTGAGCAGGGCTGCATCTTGCTTCAGCTACTTCCTCTGCTGTGTTGTAGGACATCGCAGAAGTGGTGGATGTGCTGTTGCAGGAGGTCCTCAATGGAGAGTGCAGTGAAGTCAGCAGAGCAGGAGTGGCTTATGTGACTGCTGCCATCTGGTAAGGAACATTTATTGCTGCTACTCCTGGCATCAGTCATTAGAGCTGCAATTTGCCATAGCAGCACCATGTGTGAAGATCATAAGACTTAAGGCAAGGTCTGTAGTGGAGATAGCCATACTGATACAGTTGAGGGAAGAGCAGACCTTTCTTCAGATGCCTGCCACCTCCCTGTTACACACCAGCTAGGATAATGGAAGGCTTACTGCAGACCTCTACACCTTGCCTTGCATGATGCTCACAACACTGCTGCAAGGAATGTGTTTTGTGGGAGGGAAGGGGCCTAAAGAGGGAAAAGGAGTAAGTCCAGATCCGTCTGCTTCTCTGCTTCATATAACGTATTCTCTCCAAGGCCATTGGTAGTTGTAGATGTGAGATTGTAACCAAAACAGTGTTATTAATGCCCCAGTGTTTGGACTGTTGCTGAACAGCAGAGGGGCAAGGCCTTCCTTGTTTCCCACTCTGCAGGCCTGTGAGTAGGCTGGGGGTGCGGCAGAGGCTGGTAGGAGACACAGCAGACACAGCTGACCCAGACTAAAGTCCATACAGTGTGATGTCATGGTCAGCAATAAAACTGGGTTTGAGGAAGAAAGTAGATTTTCTGGTTTCCAGGGTGGCCCCTGACCTGAAACTGTGAGGGACGCCTCACACTAGACCATGTTGCCCAAGGTCCTGTCCAGCCTGGCCGTGAACACTGCCAGGGATGGGGCATTTACAACTTCTCTGGGCACCCTGTGCCAGCGCCTCACCACCCTCACAGTAAAGAACTTGTTCCTTATATCTAACCTGACCTTCCACTGTTTCAGTTTGAACCCATCACCCCTTGCCCCATCACTACAGTCCTTGATGAAGAGCTCCTCTCTGCATCCTTGTAGCCCCCTTCAGATATTGGAAGCTGCTCTGAGGTCTCCACTCAGGTTCTCTTCTCCAGGCTGAATATAGGGCTTTGAATGAAAATTTTTTGGCTTTGAAAAGAGACTTGCTCTTCCTGCACAGCACCTCGGAGGCTGCTGTAGAGGAGCTCGTGACTGAAGTGACGGGGGAGATCCTCAGACAAGTGGCTGGAAGCGTGCTTAATGCAGAAAGGGAGCGTGTCAAAGAGGAAAGGCGCAGAGTAGAGGAAGAGAGGTGAGTGGCTGCTTTTGCTGTACGTGGTGGGCTCAATTCATCCTTAGGCAGCATTAACAACAGCTGGTGCCAACCTGAGGCCTTGCCCAAGGGCTCAGCCCCTGTGTTTTTCTGCCATACCAACAGCACTCAGTTTGTCTCACACTGGGACTGTGCAGGCAGGCTGCCCCTTCCACACGTTCAGATGTGCTAGCTTGTATTTTGGGGACCTCAGAGCCAGTATGAAAATCGTGGCTCGGGGTTTTGGGAACTTTAATACCCGCAGAGCTTCCAGAGAGGGAGATGGATCCCAGCTCTGCTGTATGCAGGAACTTTTCCTTCCGAGTGAGCTACTTGTTTTTAACTTACTGTGGTAAGTATAAAATCACCCTGTTGTTATGTGTAGTTCTGAAGGAAAACTGGCTTCATGGAAAGCTGTTTAAAGAGAGAAACCAGCTGGTGGCAACTCAAGTTGTGTGTGAATTAACTGTCTGACACTGTGTGTAGCACTTGTGTAACTAAGGAGCAGGTTTGCAAGCGTAAAACTTCAGTCTTGCCACTGGTGTAAATGTTTTCTCTGTCCTTCCAGGAAAAAGCAGGAAAAAGAAAAGTTAATAAAGCAGTTGAGCCAGTTGGTGGGGATGGAGTTAATGGAAGAAGTAATAAAGGAGAGTGTTCAAGAAGCTTCAACCGATGAGTTAAAGTAGGTACAACATACTGTATGGTGTACTTTCCTGTAGGATGCTTTCCAAAGGGTAAGGATTTCTCAGGGAGTGGTAGGATTCCTGCTTGGATTTCTTTGAGGTCATCTTCACTAAGCTACTTGAGAAGGAAAGTGTAGTTGATCGTACAGCAAGTGCCAGTTTGCAGTCATGCTGTCAGGCAGTAGTGGTCCTCCAGGGTGAAGGGGACAGAGGATTGTTTAGGGCAAGGCTGCCATGTATGCTTTTTCTTCATCCGACTCCCTTATGGCTCAGCTGTGGTCTCTCTTGTAGACCCTTCGGTATAAGCTTGTGATCAGTGTAAAACTTGAATGACTTCCAATTGATCACAAGTCTTATTCAGAAGAGCTGTAGAATACAAGTATGGAAAATCCCGTTCCTTTGCTAAATGTGAAGGTCTTCCCTTCAGCTAATTGTATGGGCATTTGCTGCAGTCTCCACTTCACTAGATGTCTTGGGTTATTTCATTTTGAACTAGATGTGCCTTAGAAAGAGACCGGCAAGCCCGTATTGCTCGCTGTTCAGAAGAAGTCTGTGGTCATGTCATGGGGCTCTTTCTGGAGGATGAGATCTTCCAGATTGCTAAGGAAACCCTTCAGGAGCTCCAGTGTTTCTGCAAGTACTTACAACGGTGAGTTACCACCTTGTAATAAAACTGCTTTTCTCAAGAGCATAAGTTACTACATGTGAGGGGGGAAACACACCTCTCGGAGTCAGCTTGGTAGGAGATTTCAGCTTCATTTTATTCAGAGACTTGTAATAATTCCTCCTTATATTATTTCTGTTGGACATTTCTTTTTCTGGATATGTGGTAAGGGTTATGGGGTTGTTGTGGTGTTCCAAGGCAGATATTCATTCTGTACTGCCCCAGTACAGTCAGGTTGAGGTGCATTTCCAGTGGTATCTGTCACCGTTAAAACGGAAGGAGCAGAGTAGTCCCTTTTCTGTGGAGCACCTCCCCTTGTAGAGTTTTTTGTCCTAAAATTGAGTTCATGTGTCTCTTTAGGACACGCGTTAATAGCCTTCAGTGCTCCTTTTGTCTGGATGGGTTTTTTGAATGGGGCACAAGGCCCACCCCTTTTCGTAGCTGCACATGTACAGCTGGCAGTTCTGGTCCTGTGTGTGTTCCATTTGAGCTTTGTCTTTGCTGCTGTGTGCAGCAATACAGCCTGAATCCACTGCAGCATCCACATGCACCACCTCACACTGTCCCCTGGGCAGACTGACGAGGGTGTTTGAGAGCCCAGTCCGGTTCGAAGACCAAAGATGAGAAACACAGAATCACATAATGGTTTGGGTTGGAAGGAACCTCAAAGCTCATCCAGCTTCAACCCGTCCTGCAACGAGCAGGGACACCTTCCACTAGAGCAGGTTGCTCAAAGCCCCATCCAACCTGGCCTTGAACACTGCCAGGGATGGGGCTGCCACAGGTTCTCTGAGCACCCTGTGCCAGTGCCTCAGCCCACTCATAGAGAAGATTTGTTTCCGTGACAGAACCCCTTTGGTCTGCAGAAGAGTTTAGTATTGTGAGCTATTCTCTTCCAAAGGTGGAGGGAGGCAGTGGCAGCTCGAACGAAGTTGAAACGTCAAATGAGGGCATTTCCAGCTGCTCCCTGCTGCACTGATCCAGAAAACAAGCTGAAAGCACTGTCCCCCAGTGCAGAGTGGCCTGTAGCCATGGAGAGCTTGTGCAAGAGGATTGTAAACCTGGGGAATGGAGGAAAGCTGGGAGTCTCATGCACAAGGTAAGGATACTTCGAGTGACAGCAGCTGGCAGTCTGGTTGGTTTTTGGAAGGTAAGTCCCAAAGAAGCCCTCTTCTTCCATTGCAAATGTTAATGGTTTTACAAAACTTAGTTCTTAAACAGCCACCAGAAGACACTTTGGGCACAAGTGCCTTGACAAAGACTGAAAACATACCTAAATCCTTCTATTAGCCACCACTTTTTAAAGTGTCTGCAGTTCTTCTCAGGTCTTAATGTTCCTTAAAATTGGTTAAAGTACCTGCTTTACACCAAAAATTACAGTCAGGTATCATTTGTTTGCAGATTGAATTGGATGAGAAACAAGACAGCGCATGAAATTAAAGTTCAGCACTTCTACCAGCAGTTGTTAAGGTATGTTGGTGTTTGATCCTTGTTTTCTGTGTAAGTAAACTGTAATGGAACTGTCAGAAGGTCAGTAAGGAATGGCAAATCATACTGGAGTGTCCACTGACATTAAGCTATCTGGTCCTATTGTCATGGGTGTAAATTTAAGGGGCTGGTAGATATTATGTTTTTTTTTTGTACCTGGGTAGGATGGAATATAAGAGGAGAGGAGTAAATGAGCTGTTACCAGCCTGGCAGTGCAGCAGGTGAGCTGCTTTCTCAGCTCATCATGCATTCTGGTGGTCTGTGTGGTTACTGGGGACTTCCCCAGTATTGAAGCAATGTGGAAGTGGAGCATTTCATATGTGGTCCACAATCCCCAAACTAAGGCTTGTGTATCAGATTTAGCGGCTGCAATTCTTGAAGGCATCTGGTCTGTGGTGCAATAGATGGGCAATACATCTAAGGAATTGGCTCTGATTTTGGAGGGTTTGAACTGGACAGTAGGTACTTCCAGTATTGCAAGATACAGTAAAGAGCTCAGGTTAGATGTAAGGATGCGCTCAAACAGGTTGCCCAAAGAAGTGGTAAATGCCCCATCCCTGGCAGTGTTCAAGGCCAGGTTGAACAGGGCTTGGAAGAACTTGGTCTAGTGGAAGGTGTCCCTGCCCATTACATGGGGTTAGAACTGAATGATCTGAAGGTCCTTTCCAACCCAAACCATTCTATGATGAAAAACATTCCCAGGTGTGAATGAGCAATAAAGGACTGTCTTTTCACCAGTTTCTCTCTTTTTAAGTGATTTAGCTTGGACTCCCCTGGATCTTGTCTCATTAATCACTGAACATACTCCACTTCAACAAGAGCAGGTTTTTTGGAAGGTGATACTGGTTTTGCCAAATGATGATGAATATGTGGAGGATGATCCCAGCAGGTGAGTAGAAGAAGCAGGTTGCTGGTCCCTTTCTCAAACAAGGCAGTCACACAGAGAACAGTAGTAGTATACAGTCCTTGATGTGTTCTTCTTATTACCCTGTACCATGTGAAATTTCCAGGTGGTGGTGTTTTGGTTTGTATTGTTTTTCTCCAGAGTGCTCTAAAGGAACATAGCTCTAACTTTTTGCAGTGGTCTGGATCTTCTCCTGACATTGTTCACTGAATCCCTTTTGTTCATACTGAAAACAGAACCCCTTGAGATACATAGCAATATAGGCAATTTCAAGACATTTAATAGCTATTTTGTAAAATCCAAGCAATATGAAGGTTGGGATCATGATAGATCATGGTGTTGGAGGGGTGTTTGGTGCTTAAACTCTTTCTTGTTTGCCAGGGTATTGGTGGATTGGTTGAAAACCAAGTTTGTGGGAGACAAAAGCTGGGAGAAAAACGCTTCAAGTACAGAAGGCAGAATTCAAACACTGACGTTATTTAGCACGCCTGCCATGCAAGGGAGCAGAAGTATTAAAGTCAGTGTGTGTGTTAAGGTAAGTGAGAACAATTTCCTGATACCTAACAGACTGTAAAAGCGAGATGTGCTCTTTTCCAGTAGCTTTTGCATAGAAGCTTTTCATCCTTTCCTGTCAGATGGAAGGAGATGATGCTGGAGGGGTGGGATTCTTGAAAAGCTCTGAAAACAGATGGATTTTTCTTTTCCTTGTTTCCAATCAACTGAGTAAATACCTACCTAAACACACTACAATAGTTAGAACCTCTGTCAGCTGCATTCTTGATGCCAAAGCAGGTGCTGAAGTTCACTTTTGTGCTCACCTGCATCTATTTGACACATCTGTGTTTGTCCCACAGCTTATTGTCTTAGGATTCCTAAACCTCCTGGTAATGAATGTCAAACCTGAATGCTAGTGATAGTAAACTGCAGATTTTGGTATGAAAATACCTTTGTTTAGCTACCTTATTGTTAGCATCCTTGTTACTTGTATAGGTGGCCTGTGGTACGCTCTCTAACTCTGAGCTTGATGCAGCTGAGATGCAAAAAGACTTGCTTGGAACCAGTGGTCTCATCCTTCTCCTGCCACCTAAAGTTAGGAGTGAAGATGTTTCAGAAGATGATGTTTACTGGCTTTCAGCTTTGCTGCAGTTGAAACAGTTGCTTCAGGCCAAACCTTTCCACCCAATAGTTCCACTCGTTGTTCTAGTCCCTGGTCAGGGAGATGAGGCCGTAGAGAAAGAAGTAGAAGAAGGTATGTAATTATTTCT